TTCGGCGAAAAAAAATTTTTCAAATCGTTTTAAAAAAATTATTTTCGGTTGCGGGGATCAATTACAATCATTTTTTATCATTACACATACCTCCGAAATCGTACGCACTTTCGAGAAAAAAATTCCTTACTGAAAATCCAATTAGGTGCCTAAATTTTTCAACGGAGAAAAAAAATTGCAAATCGTTGTGGAAAAATTATTTTCGGTTGCGGGGGTCAATTACAATCAGTTTTTGTCATTAGACATACCCACGAAATCCTGCCCACTTTCGAGAAAAAAAATAGAGAAGGTGTGAAATTATTCGAGAAAATTAAAAAATTGCAAATCGTTGTGGAAAAATTATTTTCGGTTGTAGGGTTCAGTTACAGTCATTTTTGGTGAATAGACATACCCCCGAAATCTTGCGCATTTTCGAGAAAAAAATTCAGTAAGAGCGGCACTTTAAACGTTAATAACTTTTTAACGAAGCTTCCACCAACAAATTAGTATTCTTGATTTTCGTCTTATTTTGGCCTCTACTATAGCTCATTAAAATTTTTGCTAGAGGTGGCCGAACACCCTGTATATAACAGGCACGTAAGTGTAGATAGAATTCATTGTAGTAACAGCGATATTTGTGATATTATATGGTACAACTTTGGAACCAAGTAAGGCATTGTGTTGAAATTTGGTTTATATGTATTTATGGACATTGAAGAACACATATTTACAATACAAAATAAAAATTTATTTCTCATAATTTTCTATGGTATGGTAAATTCTGAAACAATTCTCAATATACATAGCAGGTTGATTTATACATGTTTCACAATAAAATGTTGTTTGACGTCTTTCTCCTGGTGTTTTCCTGTCGGAACAAATAATGCAGTCCCGGTTTCTTTGGCCTACATTTGGAATATGTAGCTTATTATTCATTCTATTGTCCGACAAAGAACGTTAATTTATTTAGATTATAACGAAGATAGCAATAGGAATGGTTCGACTTTGAATGAAGTTTCGATTTTACGTTTATAGTTTTTTACGTTTACGTTTTATGTTCTTTATGTTAAATAATTTTAGTAAACATTAAATAATATAGTTTATATAGTTACGTTTATTGTCCACGTGTTTGAATCCGACCATACGCCTCTGACCATCATCGACAATCCTTCCACTCCCAACCTAAAAACGGCTGATATATTTCTCATTTTAATAGAATATTTCCCATTTTAATAGGAAAGTACAGGAAAACATGTGTTTCTTAAAAAATTGCGGTGAAATCAGTTCATTCTCCTTAATCACTAATAAACTTTCATGTCCCCTCAGAGGGGACGACCGAGTGCAAAGGGTTAAAATATGTTCATAAAATATTATCGTTTTAAAACGTGTATTTCCGTGAAAACAAATTTTTGTAATTTTTTCTTCATTATGGTATATTGCTTATACATTGTATATGCCTACACAGGTCGGAAAGTCAAAAATGCCTAGGCAGTCGAGAATCTCGGCTCGTGAATATGCGAGATCGAATTTCAGCTGTGTTGAGAGCAAGAAGGATAGACTGACATTCGCCGCCTTTCTCGAATCTACGAAGCTATACGAAACGCCAGAACTCATATACAAGGTGGTTGGCATTAGTGTGTGTGAGTGGTGGGGCAGTTCCCTTTGGGCACGGGTCTGCCGTCTGATAATACTCCACTGTCTTTTCCAATCCCTCCCATAATCAACTCACATGTATTTACGTACCCACTCAGCTGGCTGCCCATCAATACTAATTCAGTGCCTAGTTTCTCAACTAACCGCCATCCATGAGAAGAGGCCGCTAAAATCACCTCCGAATTTTCAGGTCGGTATGGCAGTCAGATTCGGCCGCGAAAGTCCATAAGGTGAAAGGTCTATTCATATATCTCGTCTGTGCTTTCACGTAATGTAATTTTTCGGCCGGAGTTTCTGGGGTCCCGGGACCCCATTACCATTTTCGTGTCACTCGCAACGTTATCAACAGATTCAGAAATTAACACAAGAGGAAGTGAGACAGAAAATACAATTACATAAATTTTATTATTTTTTAACGGAATTAAAGCTGTAGGGTCCATCATTGGACATTAATCGATTAATTTCATTCGAGAAATCAATTAAAAATTTCAAGATTATTAAAATTCATAAGGATGTATTTCATTGATACGTACACCGCAAATTCTCTATTTTTTATTTTAAATTGTAATACATCATTTATTAAAAAAATAACTCGGCAGAAACGTATTTGCGACTCGAAATCAGTTTAATCAGACTGTACATCGGGGCCCCGGAAACTTCTCATTCCTCACTTTCGCAACTATGCCCAATTGCGTGTACGTGAGCTCGTTGAGTTTCGGAAGAGCCGAGAAGAACAGGCTGATACTCGCTTTCCTTCTCGCTCTTGCATCGCTGACGTCGTTTACATTTCTCGAAAGCAAGCCTGGCATCGCCAACCGTTCGAATCGTCAGTAAACGACAAAAGCCATCGTGACTGACAGACCTTACATTTCTCGAAATCGGACCTGGGCGCTTTTTGAAGATTCATTGACTTTCCATACGAAGCGACCATGCGTTATACATATACATATACATGTTATACATGCTAGGAACTATAAATTGTATAACTTTCGTCGTATATCTACTTTCTAATAACATGGGAAAATTTTAAAATATAAAAAAATGTAAGAATACTGTAGAATTTTTGCAATGGAGAATTATTGAAGGAAAATGAATTGATTATATACATATGTATATATCGGACACATCCCTCGCAAACACGCTACAAACATTAATGAGAACAAAACTGCAAATCTGTCCTTTTTTAAAACCCCGCAACTGATCTTTGACTCGGAACTCGTCCTCTTCATTTAGCAATTATAATAAACGTAGACTCATTAAAATTCGTAAAAATAACAAAGTTATAGCCATTTAGAGGGAAGAGTACCCAACGGTTAATAATCATACCAGAAATTTTAAATGAGTTTTTCTCGAAACCATATTTTCGAAATTGGCTGACATGATATCACAAATTCATATTGATTAATGGATTTGAAATTTATAGAGACATGCCTGTATGTTAGAAATTTTGCCTATGACGGTTCTGGGGTAAGTCCTGTGCCGTTCCTCACAGTGCTCTTACCGGAAGGTCCCGCGCCTTCCCCACTCCGTGGCCAGATCCTTCAGGACAAAGTCTTTATTTTTTCCAGCAGTACGACGTCAGGTCGTCTGCCTCTTTTAACTACTCTCTCTCTATTCATAAACAATCAATGCCTGGACACGCGCTAGCTGGAGACCCAACGCGGTCGTCCGCTATCGCGTCACCCGTTGCCAGGCCTGTTTAGTCTCATTCGCTCTTTAGGCCATATGCACCCCAAAACTCTGTCATAAATGTATCGTAGACTGAGCGTCCTTCAGTGGTCCTTACATTCGACTCTCTTGGAAAATACATTGTCGCTAGCGTTTCTGGAAAACAAAAGCCGATCCCCTATTTCGGGGGAATGTCCACGCGTCGCGTCCAACCATTGTTGTCGTGGCGAAATCGACTGTTTTGCCTTCGCCTTCGAAAAAGATTAAGCAAAAGAGTTTTCTTCATTGAAAGAAGAAAAATTTTCCAGCCTTTCATTTTCAATAGGGGCGGTCTCAACTTCCATTCATTTTCGTATGATTGATTTTTATGAGTCAGCGTTTTTTAAAATTTTTTTAAACAAAGAGGACAAATAGAACAGTATTTAAAAATTTTTCAGATTTAAAAATTTAAAATAATATTGAAATTCATTTGGTTGTTCAGACTGAATTGTATTAATAGTATAAATATATGAACGCACGTCCATTAGCATAGTAAAAAAATGTCTTTTTTTTAATAGTTAAAATATGATCAGGGGGTCCTAAAACGTCTATTTCCGTAAAAAAATTTTTGAAATTTTTGTTTCATTATCGTTTTTGCTTATATGTATACGCCTACATAGGTCGGAAAGTCAAAAATGCCTGGGCAGTCGAAAATCTCGGCTCGAGATTATGCGAGAACGAATTTCAGCTGTGTTGAGAGCAAGAAGGATAGACTCACATTCGCCGCCTTTCTCGAATCCACGAAGCTACACGAAACGCCAGAACTCATATACAAAATGGTCATGCATTAATGTGTGTAAAGTTACAGAAATGAACACAAGGGGAAGTGAGGCAGAAAATGAAATTACACACATTATATTTTCGGTCAAGAACTTTTTCTCAAAAGTGGGTAGGATTTCGGGGGGTATGTGTATTCACCAAAAATAATTGTAATTGACCCCCGCAACCGAAATAATTCTATCAGAATGATTTGAAATTTGTTAATGTCGCAGGAAAATTTTTCTTTTAAATTCGATTTTGATTTTACTATCGATAATTTACTGAACGATAATTGACAGATGAAAGAAACTTCGAATGCTCCGTTTATTTTGCTAAGAGAAAAATGAAAAAAATAATTGTATAGTAAATATGCTCCTAATTTGTTTACTTTCTTCGCGCGTCGTTGCCCCCTTTCGTTTAAGAATATTTTATACTTATCATATTCTTAAGAAAGTCAAGTTGACGCAAAGTCTAGCTACGCCACTGTCCAAACGACATAGTCACAGATATAGCCACAGATGAGGTATAAAACAGTAGACCGGACAGTCGATTCTGTCCACGATATCGTGTCCAATCGTATAAATAATTTAGCAGCGTTTCTAACGATAAAAATGAAAGCAAACATGCTTTAACGAGATGCTCATCTCATTTGTACTACAGGCTATCACGAAAACTCGTGAATAAAAGAAACAACGTGTTATGTTGCTACTAAAATGCTCTCGTTTATTCGACTGGTTTACCATAATTTGTAACGTATGCATTTATTCCGAGCATGATCGACTGTTTCCATTGTAAAAATAAATATTATACATCGATTGCGAGCTACGACCAGACCCACTTCGAACGTTCCGATTTCCACGGGCGTCCTAAACGTCGCGCTCGATATTCTCGTTCGCGTTCCTCTCGTTATCAGCGTCGATTCAAATCGGCATTTCGCCCCTTTGAGTTTCTATTTGCCGCAACTGATTGGACACCAATTCCCACTTGGACAACAAGGCGGGCTTCTCCATTTCCTGCACGTTGACCTCCTCTATCAGGTTCAACAATCTGATGAAAAATTCATTGAGCTTCGCCGCGGTTCCCCGTCGCAACTTATGGAAATTTTTGTCTGCAACGGAACCGAAATTAACACGAGAACAATACGATCAACCACGCGCGACGTCCACCGATCATCCGCTAATTGCTACGTGAATAATTGAGAATCGAAAACGAGGACGAAGATGGCAATCGCGATATCGGGATACGTTATGTATCGTATCGCCACGTGCTGGCTACAATTATTAATAATATAAATAGAACGAAGTAGCGTGACCCGCGAATCGATATTTCCGGCGAACGCATGCTGTGCGCGATGGCGAGCAACGGAGAAGTACGATAATTGTCTGCACCAATGTTTCCTAACCTTTCTCCAATCACGACCCCCTTTTGCAACAAACTAATCACCCATGACCCTCCACGAAAAAAAGAAATACTAAAAACGGGCATTTCAAAATAGAATTCCAATTTAATTAAATCATATTTGATCGAATATGTTCATTTTATTTTTTGATTATGAATTCAGCAGGGCACGATGTTCAGTTTGATCACATTTTAAAGAACAGAATGTTACCTTTCTAAAAAAAAAAAAAATGGCTGCTTCTAGCTGCTTCTGAGAAAGCCAAGAAACATTTTCAATTCCACCCATCTTAACCACCCCCAGAAGATGAAAAGTTCTAATTTCTTTGTAGATAATACGATGGTGAGTTCAGGGCGTTGAATCGAAAGATTTATGTTAATCTAATAACTAGACTGCGGATGTTTATGCATTTATGGGAAATTTTAATTTTCAAAAAACTACAGAATTTAGTTAGTATGCAAGAATATAAGAAATACTTAAAGTAAGGTACGAATTATTATATCTAGGGGTTGAGACAACCCTCTACAAAGCTCCAATTTCATTAATTTTATTAATAAAAATATGAATTTGCATGAAGATCCGCACTAATAACTATCGTAATGTGGGGGTTCGTGGACCCCGGGTTAAGAATCACTGATCCAGACGATGTTTGTACCTCCAACAAACATACAACGATCGAAGAACAGGTATCCACGAGCGTAATAGAATTTAACCACATGTCGAGACTCTACAGTATCCTCGAGCGATACAAATTACAGTGAGGGAGTTAAACACTTCTGCCTCAAGCAATAATTCATCGGGAAATCGAAACTATCTTTACACGAACTTACTGGAAGGATAGAAGGAACTCTTGATCCAGATACTTTGCTGCGTGAGAGCAGCCATGAACCGTTTCGTTATCAGGCTCTGGCTTTCGGCTGTCATCGGCCTGAGTCGATTCACAAATCGTAGCAGATACTCCAGGAGGTATCTGTTGCAAACGGACAGTTTCTCGAGGCATCGTTGGGGCTTGGAACCCCACGCCACGATGTAACTTAGGCTATCTACGTCCAACAAGGGACGCTTCAGCGTCTCCAACCACTCGAAGAGCAATCCGCACAAAACGCCCATGTCGGTTTCCATTTGGAGTCGCTGCCAGGCTGTGGACCTGTGATTCAGATCCACCTAGAAAAGGCACGTTCTACTTGCACTGACTCCTTGTAACATGTATCCAACGTATCATAATTGTTTTTTAAATTACATACATTTTTTAGCTATCTTAACACTAAACCTATCACCATTAGACCGTTTTTCAAATTTCGTTTCAAGTTTGTAACATGTAATGTTATTTTAGCACCACTTAAGTTCACGACTTTTCTTATAGTATACGTACAATGAATTTTTTGATGTTCACTTCAACAAAAATATGTAATATGTCTTGTCTACCACGACTTACACGATTTACATTTTTAAAAATTTAATTTCTAAATCTTATTCTCTTCACCTGATATTCCTGTAAGCTTTTCCTGGTCTTCTCAGGCAACATCGCGTTGTCTTTGATCAGAGCTCTGATCGCCTCGTCGGTGTTCACAGTTTCGAAGGCTGCGTTCTGAGCAGCAACCTTCAAGTCCATGTGCGACTGAATCTCCTTGTAGCAATCATTGTCGACGAGATCCTGGCCGTGGATCCCGTCACCGAGAACGTCGTCCACGCAACTGTCATCTAAACCTGCGACACACATCATTTTCCACGTTATCTTCCCTAGTTCCATCGACTTGCAGGAAGACCAAAACATGGAGACGTGTACCCTAATTATTTTGCAGATCGCTATACCTGGGTATGTGGAATCGCAAGATGGAGTATCCGGAGAAGTGCAGTACAAGTCGCTTAATCGTCCAATGTCGTCGGAAGTGTCTCTAGAGGATGCTTGGCTACCACTTGCACAAGCTTTTGTGGAGGCTGATTGACGTGAAAAGAAGTCGAATTAATTTTGTACTTTAGGTTATCATTATTCTCAATTTGTTCAGAATTGTTGCTCCAAGGCACTTGCACAATGGAATTATACTTTCATTTTATTTTCGGAACATCTTACTTGAACAGTCGAAAGACGAATCTGCAAGTGATTCTGCCCACGAATACGAATGCCTTATGTTTGCCTTGCTGTCGCGTAATTTTTCCAAAACGTGTGATATAAATTTATTCGTGAACGGGGTGGTGGAGACCGTGTATTGGATCTCGCACGGCGAATTGTCGTCCTGACAGTCGCAGAGCTGAAGGATTCGCTCGCAAATAGTGAAGACGATCTGAAAAACAATCGATCGTCCACTTAACGAGAGATAATAAACTGTTCGTTCTATACGTATGTTGTATAATATAAACCAACAACTGATCGATAGAATGTTACTTAATTTTGTCAATGGACCTTTGGAATGTGTTTGAAGGTCCGTTGCTCGTATCCGTGCAGGACGGTTTGCTGTTTCCTCAAATGCGACTGAAGGCTGCAAGGCTTGCGATCGCCTATCGTGCTGGTCAAAGGGAAAACTATCATCTGTGGAAGAACGAAATGCTCGAATTCCTGAATGCAGAGTATCTGTCCTCGTGTCTGTATCGCCGATGGTCGTTTCATGCGAACGAATCTTATGGCGTCGTTCGCGCGCACACGAAGACTGTAAACGAGGTAGCACGCAATCAGAACCCCGGTTCTGCCTAATCCTGAAGAAATAAAATACAATTCTGACACACAACTCGTGATTAATTGGGACGATTCTACGAATCCTCGAGTCGTAACACTATGCAAGATCAAAATCAAACGAACGGAAGTTGGAAACTTTCTACGATCTAACGAGCTTTTCCTTATTCACTGAACTTTGCTGTCTAGGTGTAAATATAAATTCTATAAAAATGAAATTTAATAAAGAAAGTTTTCAAAATATATTTAAAAAATAATTTAAGCAAATTCTCTGTACGGTGAGAAATACAGAAATAGCTTGCAATATTCTGAGCTATCGAACGTCGAACTTCGGGTTCATTTCGACCCAAATCTGAATTTTATTACTTCTACTTGTTATCGAGAAACAGCTAAACAAAGGATAATAAAGAAAATTTCAAAATATATTTAAAAAATAAATTAAGCAAATTCTCTGTATGGTCAGAAATACAGAAATAGCTTGCAACATTCTGCGCTACCGAACGTCGAACGTCGAACTTCGGGTTCATTTCGACCCGAATCTGAATTTTATTACTTCTACTTGTTATCGAGAAACAGCTCGCTGTAAAATTATATTTATCAAAACACAAAACCTCAGGATTGTGAAAGAAACAGTTTGCATAGATCCAAATAAACCCAAACTAAACGTCGATTGGAGGAACGCGAAGATAACTGATTTCAGGGGTGGAAACGAATGAAAAAGGAATGAACTCGAGGAGGTACGTAATACTCGAATGCAGCCTTGGCATAATTGCCTGCTGTCCCAAGGAGAAGGAAGTTGACTACAATTACTGGGCGAGTATTCGAAAGCTGGCAGAGTTATGACTTATCGACTAGCGTGACGCAGACATTGATATATTTATTCGCGGCTAATCTGCGGCGCATCGATCGCGGCTAATTCGAGAAATAAATTGCTCGCGCCGGAACCGTGAATCCGGAGGCGGAATCGGTAATCGTGATCGACGCAGTTCCGGAATTACCAAGATCTACGACGTATCCAGCGAACGATCCCACATTACCGCGGCGTCCATTCCGCGCGTGAACCGTTTCGGTTAGCAAACACGCTTCCGCGGCTCAGTAATTAACTCGCGAAGCGTGCACGCGAGGCTCGCGCGGAATTTCCGAAATTCGATCAAATCGTCCCCGTTGTCAACCGCGACCAAGGATTCGTACAACTATTTATGGTGATGGACGTCGGTGTTTCGTGCTCGCGCCGAGGAAACTGGAGAAAATTAATCATTTCGATCGCTGAGCGTTCTGAAATGAGACAGTGTTTCTCAAAGTGGGAGAAACGGGGGATGGAAACCCTAAATGGATGGTTTTATAATCTAAAAAGAATGCAAACGAAATTTGTCTATTATTAATATATTCTCTACTAATTGTTTCTTGGAAAGAAAGTATTTTTATGCATGCGGCGTCGCCTCCCACGCTCGCCACCAGAGGGATCGCGCTCTCACAAGCGCTCGACCGACATCTTGGTTGCTATATGTACAATCCTCCTTTCCTTTTCACGCCTCCTACGAATTTCCCAAGATCCTACCCGCAACGAAGCAGTGCTACATGCAATCGAAATGCCATTTGAGAAAATATGATTTAACTTGGAAAATAATTTCGAGTCAAAATTTTAAAGGACCTTCGAAATTTGGCAGACATGGATTAAAATATTGAAAGAAAAGTGTGTAAAGATTGGAGAAATTGTTTAGTTGTCTAAAACTAGTAGAATAATCAAAGGAAATTAATTTCTTTTAAATGGCATTTAAATTCGCCATCGACTGCGTGAATAAATAAATAAATTGTGAGAAAATTTGTTTTTTGCTACAAACTCCAGAGTTTCTATGTTCCTTAGAAGCGATGGCGGTAGATCTGAAACCGTTTGGAAACCACTGGACTGGAGAAACTATTATGTTTTGCTCCCTGTGGATGGAGGAACGCCTTCGTGTAGGTAATGATACGGTTCGTAAAGTGCATATCGTGGGATTGATTGCCGAATACAAACCCCTGCGAATGCTAGTAAAACGTAATTTTTGCGATCGTTAAGTATGCATGACTCGAAGGCCCCTGTTATTGAAAAACGAATCGATTAAGAAGTATCCTGGCCTGGACTTGGAATTTTATACAAGAAAAACTATTCGAGATATCGGTTTGACGATTTGCACAGTTGTTTGCGCCTATCTTTCCAAGGTGTACAATTTTTTTTATTTACAAATACGTAATAGTTGCAGAGATATAGGTTGCTAACTTAATCGTGGTAAAAAGAAACTATTATCCAGGTTGGAAGAGTCTACCATTAGTATACCAAATCCCAAAAATGGAAGAAATTATTAAACTACGTATGGTTGTAGCTCGAACTATAAGAAATTGACAAAACGACAGCATTTTGAAATAAATGCGTCGATTCCTTTTTTGGCAAACATTTCCCCATTTAACGGTTTAAAAAATCATTGAATTTATTTATTTAATTCAAGTGTGTCTGTTCGTTAATTTTTGGTAAATCACGGCAATCTCGTCGAAAAAATGCATTTAAAGCATCTAGTGTGAATGTAAGAAAGTTTCTATGATTTTGTTATTTGGAATCTAGATCCCATCAACAAAATTCGAAAAATCTTTTGTACCTATTTTCACGAATATTAAAGAAAAATTTTATACACTTCAAAGATTCTAGATTGCAAGAGAATGGAACCACAACGAATCTAAAAGACCATAATACCCCCTTGGATCGTGCTAGGTTTACATCGAGGTTTCTGAACCTCATGCAACGTTTATTTGTATAATTTATGTTGCTCTTCGAATCGTTCCTGCGTTGCTCGTAACTTCCCTAGTTGAATGTTTTCGCGAACGGTCACGATTCGTAAAAGGGAACAGCGTTTCGCCCCAATTTGTTATCTTCTGTCATCTATTTTTCGTGCAGATAAACTCCCCCGAGGAATTCAGAACCGGGTACGATTATAGTTGGCGAGCACGCTTTCCGTCAATTAGAAAATTCGTCATGGAAAACTACTTTCCGCCCAAGCTATTTATTACTGTTCCTATAGACTAAAACTTGGAGTTTATTAGACAAATTAGGGATTTTTTCAAATTTTATACAGACATTTGTCATAACTGAAACGAAGTTGAATTGTACATTACATAGATCTTAAATCGTGCATTAGAGTTTTATAGAATCATTTGATAGAGAACCCTAAACCTGAACTCGTTCAAGGCTTTACAGTCTCTGCTTCATAGCAAACATTTCCACAAAATTAATAGCCTATACTATACTTCGAAGCCCATAGAAGCACACAAACAAAATTTCCTTCGAATTTAACGAATACAGTAGGGCTCGTAGGGGAATCACAAACACACAGATTTAAGATTTCATATTAATAACATGCATGGAAACTCATTTTCCTCCTTTCCAAGGTGCAAACACATTGCGTTTATACCGTACACGAATCGGAAATAAAGCTGTCGCGCGTAGTTACCAACACGATGGACATTTTTCTCCTTCGTGTAGCATGCCATCTTGGCATTGAATACAGTGTATGTCATGGTAAATCGATATGTGTCTAAACGTTTCATATTTTAGACAGTGTTATCAGGATTGGATATTCTAACATCGATTTGGAAACGAATCTAACAAAGAAAACCGATCATTTTCAAGGAGTTAATTCTTAGAGTAATTACACAGTAACATCCAGAATTGTTCAGAAATCTGCAGTAATTTTTCCTGAACATCTTGCCCCCTCTTCTCCTACAATACTGAAACAATAGTTACAGTATCTTGAAAACATAACATGTGTTTAAACACTTTCGTGAGCCACTCTCTGTATATTTTCAGAAATTACCTGTTCTTATGTAGCAAAGAAACGTTCGTTTAATAGAAAAATCATAAAGAAATTAGCGAAATAATACACTTTTTTTACGATTACATGTTACGCCCAATTTGCATCGTACAGTTGCAATTTTTGCGACCGTGGCTGTCGATCCAAAGTTCAAGGGGGATGGTATGCATAACGAATGCAAAAATTTAGATGCACCCCCGTTGACGCCCCGTCCAGCTGCACGCAATGCACCAAAATGGTATCGCGCCGGTTGAACGTGTTTCACACATTCCCTTGAATCGATAACCTTAAAGGTTACAAATTGCTGATAAGTTGGCACGCGGAGGTAAAGACCGTGAAAGCACAGATAACTATTTTCTTAAATTAAAAGGTTCGTTTACAATCCCCCGATAAGAGAAATTGAGTGCATCCACGTTGCAACGATAGCATCGCCGCTACAGGAATAGGAATTACTCTTTGTAACAATTTTATAGATTCCACCAACGATTGTGAGCACGATGGAAATGGTCTAAAAAGTACCCCCTTCGTGCAGGAATTCACTTTCCGTAAAAAGAAGTATAGTTACAGCGAGATGAGCTTAAAGAGAACGAACGAAATGATTTAATTCCACAGATGTTTACGAAGATGTTAAAAAATGGTTTCACGTATATATCTCGAGATGTAATCATGGTAAAGAAGGGGTGGAAAATATGATTTTTGAAAATGCTTAGAAAACAAGTCCTAAATTTCAGAACGATTACAAATTTAAAAAAAGAACTGTATTTATTAAAGCTTGATTCTAAAAAGATTTATAAAAAAGCTTTTCCCATAAGCTTGTATTTAAATTGAGTAATTTGAAAGCACATTCAAAAAATATTTAAAGTTTCAGGATAGTATAAAAATGTTAGTAATAACAATGGAAACGTACCACCAATTAATTTAATATATTATTCCTAATTGCTACAGGCCTGTGTTATCAAGGGCACAAACTTTTAGTTCCACAAGCGTGTGAACCAATTTCTAAATCCTGCTTGCAATATACGATTCTTAAAATTCCCCAAATTGCAAAGGAATTATCCAGGAATTTTAGAATATTTAGAGTTTCTAGAGAGAATCTGTTTAAAAAATCTGGATAAACCTCGTGCACGATCGCCATTAACGCGAACAGCTAATAGAAGGTGAAAAATGGAGCGGGGAATCGGGTCGATGGATCGATCGGATGTAAAAAGAAGTCGATTTACCAGCGTGACAGTGGATTGCTACTCTTCCTTCCTGCACGGCGAAGGCCACGACCTTGACCATATCCAGAAGTTTGCCCATCGTCGCGTCCCCATAGTCCTTCAGCGCGAAATTGTAATAGTAAACTGCAACAAAATTCGTGGCATAGCGTTCTACCAGAGACCTTGGGCCGACTATCCGACCACGAAGGGACAAGCACGGCTCGCGTTTCGCGAAACTTTTGTTTCCTCCGCATAGATACACGGAGGTTTTGCTGCATTGCATGTTATGCTAAGAGCTTCTTCGATCTGATTCGCGGAATCGGGTTTCCTGGCGCTATTAGGCGACTCCGTCGAGACAAACTACCCCTGATTTTCTCCACCGCTCCATTTCGTATCACCCTTAATACTGAATTTACGAATTTTAATTATTATACATACAGGGTGTTAGGTCAACCCTGGGAAAAATTTTAATGGAAGATTCTAGAGACAAAAATAAGACGAAAATTAAGAATACCAATTTGTTGACAGAGGGTTCGTTAAAAAGTTATTAACGTTCAAAGTTTAGCCCACACAGAATTTTTTTTCTCGAAAATGCGCAGAATTTCGGGGGTATGTCTATTCACCAAAATTGATTGTAATTGACCCCCGCAACCGAAAATAATTTTTCTAACGCGATTTTGAATTTTTTTTTCGCCGAAAAATTTGTCCACATTTCTGAATTTTTTTCTCGAAAGTGCGTAGGATTACGGGGGTATGTCTATTCACCAAAAATTATTGTAATTGACCCTCACAACTAAAAATAATTTTTTTAGAAAGATTCGACATTTTTTTTTTCGCCGAAAAATTTAGGCTGTCGATTTTTCTTAGAAATTCGTTTTTCATTTTTAATAAATTTGTTCGACGCTCTATAGAAAAGTTGTCTAACACTTTTTTGTAGGAACCCATGAGCTCTAGTTCAGGGAAAAGTTTCATTGAAATATGTTCGCTATTGTAGGAGTTATGGCTGTTTGAAAATTGGACCATTTTTATGTGGTTTTTCTCATTTTACGGGGTCAAGGAACAACTTTTTCAATATTATTAGAATTTTTACATATTCTTCACTAAAATACGCGTTGTTTGCCGCTTGAAACTTTAAAATCGTCCAATCCGTTCAGAAGTTATGACATTTTAAAGATTCGCATTTTTCGGGCCATTTTCGATTAGGAATTTTTTTCGCGAAAATGGTTAGGATTTTAGGGATATCTCTATTGACCAAAAATGATTGTATTTTACCCCCGGAACCGAAATAATTTTATCGGAATGATTTGAAATTTTTTAATTTCGCTGAAAAATTTCACACCTTCTCGAATTTTTTTCTCGAAAATCTGTAGGATTTCGGGGGTATGTCTACCGACCAAAAATGATTGTATTTGACCCCCGCAGTCAAAAATAATTTTTCCAGAACTATTTGAAATTATTTTTTTAGCCGACAAATTTCATACCTTCTCGAATTTTTTTCTCGAAAATGCGTAGGATTTCGGCAGTATGTCTATTGACCAAAAATGATTGCAATTGACCCCCACAACCGGAAATAATTTTTCCGTGAATGAGTTGAAGTTTTTTTAATTTAATTTTATTAACAACAATCAAAAAATTGATATTCTTGATTTTCGTCTTATTTTGGCCTCTAGAATCTTCCATTAAAATTTGTTTAATGGGAAACCAAACAATATATGGAGCCCCTGACAATAATTCACAGCATTTAATTCCATTCAAAGCCCCCCTTTTTGTCTTCGTTTATTTATATCAAAATTTTTTTGTCACCACTATCACTAACATTCTTAGAATAGATAGTTCAATTTCCAATTTACCTTCAATTTTTGCACAAAATGAGTCAAACGGTTCTGAAATAAATTTTATCCCTAAACTACATATAATAGAAGCTTCTATATGGAATACTTTTCCTAAATTCTGTTAACAGTTTTGAAGCCTCGCATATTTCTTGGTGCATACTCGAAGAAGACATGTAATTTTTGTAATCGAAACGAATTTTTGAATAAACGAATTGGGTTTCGTTTAATTCTGCATGAAAATTGCCCGAATGTAAGGAATTCTGTCAGTTTCGTAGGTACGTATCGAGTTTAATATTGACGGTATCATAATATCGTCAAATATTTAAATATATTAATATTTAAATACCTACTGCCATTTCTCATGAAGACATTCGGATCGTAAGTGAAGCCGCTTTCCTCGAGTGGGCCGCCGCAGCTCGCATGCTCGCCGGGCGTTTGCAGGTTTATTATAGTTTTTATACTCCACCCTTGAAACTGTGCAATTATGTCTTTTCTTACTATCTGCGCGGTGTTCGGTCGTGCCATCGCGAGAACGTCGTCGGTCACCCTAAACAACGATCAATCGTTACTCCAAATTTTCATAAAAAACAAAAATAATCATTATAAATCTCAACGATTTAAAAATCTGAATTTAACCGAGCGAAATCACTGTATCATTGGATGAAATCACTGTATTTGCGATGAAAAATTGATAAAAGGAAGTTGAAACGCTATTTCCATCTACACACTGACGCTCACAAGTCTCTAAACAGCTGTTTCTAACGAAATCATAGTATTTAATATCGATTATGAATGTTATCTTCATCTGTTACTTGATACGGTTAATACAGGTACCTATTTAACGTTAGTCACAGAAGCTAGTAAATTGACACAATCACGCAAGAAACATCGCATTTGCTCGATAAAATAATTTATTATATCAGTGATATAGACTGCAACAATTCTTATTTTGTATGCTTTAACACTAGATTTACGGGTATTGATCGCACGTATATTTATTGATACCTTTCATGTTGACAATTACCTTAAAATACGATTTTTCTTTTAATTAGAATATGTATTCTTGCCATTGCATCGATCGAATTCAACATAAGTTGTTAAAAAATAATATTTACGCGTTCTGCAATTTTAAATATGGAATCAGACATCCGTGAATTTAGTGTTAAACCTCACATTGGGCATACGCCTTATTCATTTTTTACTTTTAATATTCTCATCTTCGTGACCAAAGGACGAACGTTTAATGGAACCTTACCAATGCGAGAAGATGTTCTGTATCGCCATGTGCACGGGTGGCCAAGCTTTTGGATTTTCATACTTGCACCTGGAACCACCGCAGAATATCGCGCACTGAATGGCCTGCGGCGTGAACCTTCGCAAATTTTCGGAGAACTTATTGTAACCAGCCTGGATCTCGAAGAGATCCACTCGCCCCGCTAGAAGACCCGCCGGTACCAGTGAACTTACATCCATTCTGCAACTGATCGGTCAAAGTTCATCCACGAACCGTCACGTTACCCCAAAACACATTCACTTCTTCGACAAACCTTTCATTTTTATTATCCCTTCTCGAACGACGTTGTGAGGTCTTAATGAACGCGATCGGAGAAGAGAGTAACTACCCCAATAATTGGAAGAATAAGAAAAAATAAAACATTTTCCCCCCAAAAAATTAATCAACCCTCTGTAATTTATTGTCGATACAACTTTAAGATTACGTGTCCATTATCTACATCTTTTTTCTGAAATTTGATTTAATATTATTGCCAATAGTCATCGACCATATTTATTAAAATCTACTTTTCGATTTATACCTTATCGTCAGTTGCAACTAATGGTCATATCTGTATAATTGTTTTCAAACATTAAAGGGGTTAAAACAATTGTTATTTTATGCATAAGACCTGGTTTCTATATTTTTAATCGTTTAAAATAGACTTCCTGAAATTCTCACTGAAATTGCTATATTATGATTGTTTAACTTACGTTCTAGCCTAACGAATAAATAAAATGGACAAGTAAAAGCTGTACCATAGATTAGATTCATCAAGACAACGCGAAGAATGCTTGAAAACGCTAGTTATATATAAAATTAATAACATTACGCTATCTCAAAAAACTCACAAATAGCGCCAAACACTAATCTATTTTCTCAATATTAAAAGAAAAAACTCCGTCGATGGTCTCGTTACTCCGACAATTATCCAACGATTAGAGACTTTTCATACTAAACACAATTTGAATCCCACAACGCCATTCGTGTCCACAAAAAAAATCACAACACTTGTATACGTATACAATTGTAAGAAACTTTTTTTTTCTACGTTCACGTGTTTGGTAATTATATTTTTTAGCGATATATCAGAGACCAGATGCACTTACGTGTGTAAAAATTGTCACGCGCTTTTCACCCATTTCATCACCGTAGAAATTTAAGTTTCCCCTAAATTCCTCCCCTCGTTTTCTTTAGCGGCGAATTCGACAGTTCCAGCAGAATCTTTTTCCAGCGGTTTTCTTTATCAGAGAATGCACGACAGATCGTAATAATCAATGCAAAAAAGCACTTTGCGTACTGAGGTAAGCGCATAGCGACTGCTAGTTCCTCTACCCTTACGTTACTTTATCTACCGTTCTATCGCATTAGTTGCGCCTGCGTGAAGTTCACCGTTCGCGTTTCATTCCATCCCGCATAAAATACCACATACTTCCTTATAAAAGAACCAAAAGCGTTCCGTTATTCATTTTGAAGACTCATTCCCCTGTTTTTCAGTGACCAGCAATATTCAAATTTCTGTCCAATTTCAGCGTCGCACTTTTTCTTTCGTTACTCGTAGAACGAAACTTGGAATCTTAAATATCTGAGACCTGCCAACCACCCTCCTTTGATGAGGAATCCTATTTGGATGTTTTCTAAAAGCGATAGAAATTCGACCATTGTTAGAAGCAAACAACAAAGAGAGAATTTGCAGAAGAATTGCCTGATAGACCAAAAACCTAATAAAATGTCGATACAAGTGAGATGATCCACCACATGTTTTCTAGGAACGAAATAGGAATGTGGAAATGCACGTAGGAACTCTGACTACCGATTGGTATTAGAATACCAATGTGTACCTTAATTGTTCCAATTTTAATGAACACTTGCATTTCGATAGTGTCTAATAAGACAGTGAAAAGATACATTAGGTGAAAGGTCTACTCGTATACCTCGTCTGTGCTTGAACAACGTAAACAGACGACAAGATTCTTGAATTTGTTAACACTATTCCCCTCGATGATTACATGTAATTATTAATTCTAACGCATAGAGTGCGTACGAGAGACGACGAACATTTCTATTCGATTATCGATCGAAGAATTTTTCATTAAAATTTGTTCGTTGCGATGATAATCGGCTGTAAAATTGAATATGGCGGAAATTAGTAGTTTTACAGCGCGCTCTGGGTCCAAATACATAGACTCTGAGAATCAAATTTAATCCGCACATTGACGTCGGTAACGTCAGCGAATTCACGGAATTTTGCTTCTGATATGATATCGACAAAAGTTTTGATAAAAAATTATTTACACATTGTACTGTGTAAATCCTTAAAATTAGGTTCTGGACTCTAAATGGAACTATAAAATTAATGCAAATTATTTGCAACTTTAATTACACAAAGAAACGCGAATAATTCGTAATGCGCAATTTACATATATTTGCACACAACTACAGTCTGTTCGCGCTCACACTAATTCAGTGAATAGTTCCTCGACTGACCGCCATACATGAGAAGAGGACGCTAAAATTTCAATTTATAGGTCGGTATGGCAGTCGTATATGAAAGTACATCTCGTTTGCACTAATATATAATAATATTTATTCATAGGAACTTTCTTTTCGTAACATAATATTGTTCTTAACACAAACGTAATTTAATATCATTGATATCCGTCGCGACGAACGCGCCATCTTTCGCGATGCGCGGTAAACCGAAGTCCGCTGAACGCGGCATTTTCAAACTGAAACTCTTTGCTATCGGAATAAACTGTATATGACTTGTAAGCGCGTTGTTAATACGTAAAATATCATCTCCACCGAGGTCTTTTATTTTAAGTATCTCGGGCAAGAAACACACCCAAGAACAGCAGCATCCGTTCCGGAATATTTTCAGAATCAGGTCGTTTCTAAAATCTACGGAAGCTAACAGCCTTCGATGGATCCTTGAAGGAAATCGCCCAACTCTACGTGCAGAGTGTCGGTACATTATTCTATTTATAGCAATTGAACAAGAGCGTGCACCTTCTTGGCACCGGACTCTTTTAGAACGAGGACCCTCCGATCAACGGTTAAACGTTTCTAGATGATTCGATTTCGCTCTTCTCAATTGCGTTACGTTAACTGGTACACGCGCTACGACTTGGGGCATAGATTGCAGAGTTCATTCCTTGTTATCCTCTAATCGTTCGCGACTCCTGTCGTAGCTTCATCTTCCTCCCTTATCGTTTTGGTTTCAGGACCTCTACGAAAAGAGGAATCTTCCGTTCGAGATGGCAAATTACAAACTTTCGAATCGTTTCTGTTCGTGCTCGTTTGCCGAGGAATCTAACGAACGTCGGGAAGAATTACAATTGTCTGTCAGAGGGGAATTATCCTGGCCGGGTGTCGCGATGCTTGCAAGCTTGCCTAACTGGAAAGTACGCGACGATCACGTGGACTCTGAAAGTCACGTTTGCGGCTGCAGAGAAAGGTGCACGCGTGGAATGAATGCATCGATTGCGAAACGGAATCAACCAAGAAAATCCTCGCTTCTGCGAAACAAAAATGCAACCACAACATTCCCGGAACATTTTTCTCGGTTGGTACGAAATTATTAACGACTCGTTGGTACTGGAATTATTCTGTACTCTTAATTCAAACGATAGTTTGGTCTGACCAGAACAAAATTAGTAGGTAATTATTTAGAAACAAGTTACGTTGCTTCGTGTTTATTTCAGGCTCTTAAACAGATATTTTTGGCAGTAGAAATGGTACATGTGTATGCAGAATAGGTGTAAAATCGGTTGAAAATTGAAACTGTATTCAACGTGTAATAATGCTTATTTTTTAAAGGAAAAATTCAATTTATTATATTGCCAGGTTTCCATAGGTAAAATCGAAATATTGCTAGTTTTTGTAGCCGCCATTACAGTGTATAGAATCCAAACGTGATCTCCTATTATCTGAACTCTTATTTCTGACTTTATCTGCAAACAAGTATTTTTTTCCTTTTAAAAATTCTGCCAGGAATGTTATCCATTTTTTCAATTTTAAAATTTGATATCTATCCTGATATCTATCTTTCTCTGTTTCTACCAAAGAAATTTGATTTTTAAACAATTCTATTTAATATATTTTATATTTCTATTATAATGCAATCTTTAAAGTTCCAAGAATACGGATTTTTGACTCGATAATTCACGCGCATTTTAAAAATAATTCGTTGACAATCCAATCTAACTGTTTATAAAGAATTTGGTATAATCAATAATGTAGGAGATACATTATCTTAAGGAAAGTAAGCAAATAGATATCTGATATTTCTTGTTATTGCAAATAGATGTTGCAAAGAGGATGTCGTAAAAAAAGTGATATCGCAGAAAATGGAAGAAAACAAAAGAATATATTCATGGAATGAAATGACTAAAAAATTAAATGTGTTTGCCAACAAGTGGGGAAGATAAGTAGATATTAAGAGGAAGTAAAAAAAACTGTAGATACGGTACAACATGACATAACACTTTCAGTGCAATTTATAGATGAGAAATATAGAATGTCATATCAGTAAAATACCGTATATCATTATTTATGTGTAAAAAGAAAAAAATATTTGCAAGCATTTAATGCTTAATAAATTAATATTTTTCTTTAACTTAAAATCGACGAATTAAAAAAAGTAAAAGCAAACAAAATCATCACTCTTTTCAATGGATTCATTTTTCTATTATTTTTGCAGCCAACGAAGCTGTTTAGTATAGAATTACGAGGCTTTTGCATAAAATCAACGAATAAAAAAAGTAAAAACAAACTAAATCATCACCCTTTCCAATGGATTCATTTTTCTATTACTTCTGCAGCCAACGAAGCTGTTTAGTATAGAATTGCGAGTTTAGCGAGCAGAATAATTATCCAAATCGAGGTTATGGTCTCCTTTAATTTAATATTCCGCGTAAGCCAGACGGGCACACGTGTTCCAATCGTTGTTTAACGACAAAACGACCTTATGTAACAGATTGCATAATGAACACAGTGCAATTTTGTCGTTGTAAAAGTTGCATTATTCGATTGGCATCGAAGGCTGTAATTATAGATGAACGCTGACCTCCAAGGAATTCAATGGTTCGTCGTCGACGTTCGAATGGTACGCGGCTCGTTTTATCGAACTGTGTTGCAATTTGACAGGTCAAGACGTTAATGATCTGCCGTTCGCCTAGCTGAACTTAATGACGACGATTGTACGCGCCACTGGACGCTTAAATGGATCTGAGAATAGTAGGAACAAACGTGAACTTTGTACGCCTGAGAGGCCAAGGGGGAAAAAGCGAGATAATAATGGGAGTAAATGTTGCTTCAAGTCGCGTAACTGTAAGAAAATAGATTAATAGAAAATAGATCAATTTCTCGATACGACAGTCTGAATGAAAATGATTACACGTGTAAGCTTTTTATAGAAGTTTTCACACGACAAATAAAATATCTTATCTGCGACTAGATTTCACGACTTTCACTAAATACCATATTCGAGAAAAGAAATTATTAAATAATAAAAAAATAAAATTTTGTACTCGAAATTGAATGTATAAATTTTACTCTATATAATTCTATGATTAAAAATATTTTAAATATATTTAATTGTCGGTTATAATTGATACCAATATTTATTAAATATTTTGAACGATTTTTTACAATTTTTTTCAGCCGAATACACGTGTAATTAAGAGTAGTTTGAACGAAACGGTGTTTGGTAATATTTCGATAGGAATTATGTAATAAAAAAATGTTTGCATTGATTGTTGACACAGAATAGATGTAAATGGATAAAAAATGCTTATCACACTCGGTGAAAGTCTTCGAGTGGGCTAGATTGTTCGACTATTATCGAAGATCAATATACGATCGAAGGATTAAGCTATGATTTGTTTTTATTTCCTCGGTTGTAATTTACGACTTTGAGATTCTCCGACCTGTTCTTTTTTTAATTTCGAGGCGCAATTTTTTCCTGAAAACTGTACAATTATTGAATGCACTATAGATCGATAAGAATATAATCTAATTTAATCGAAGTATCCAGTTTTTTACCACATGTTTATAATAAAATTCACGATTGTGGCTTTCGGAGAAAAATACATAAAACTCGCGTGGCAATCAACGTGTTAATATTCTTCTATTGACACAATTGCACATATTTGTTATTTTCATCTGACGATACGAGTTCGAGTTCAATTACGTACTACTATGATCTATAAATGACCTTAAATTTAGTAATTTAGTAATAAATATGTGCCAATCAGTTGGAACTAAAGGCAATAACAAGTGCAGTGAAAAAGAAAATATTCCATATACTCCTTTAATTACTAATACTGTTTTCCCCGCTTTTATCTTACGCATTGTTCCTTTATTTATTTGCAGAAAAACGTTTCCTTCGCTATAGTATTTATGTAACGTACACGTACGTGTATGAAGTAATTAAAGAGAACAGAAAACGATTACATTCCATTGAATTTAAATCGAAGTTTCTAACTGTGTTTTCCTTACCGAGTGTTTACAAACTCAGCAGGTGTTTCATAAAATGACCAGACCACTTAGATACCGTGACTCAACAGGTTTCCCCGCTTAAGGATAGAATTATATCGAACCTTTCATACACGATGACAACGTAATAAATGCATTCTTTGAAAAAATTGAAACAACACCTCACGATATAGGAAAGTACTTTGTTTACTGTATTTCCCAAAAACAGAGAACTTCAATTTGTATTTTCTACGCGATCTTATCGAAGAATTGAAATACAACCGTTATCAAGACTTTGTATCAAAGAAATTACCAGTTAATCTGATAAAACATTACATAAAGCAATAACAAAGGAATCAAAATTAAAATTGTTACAACACATCTAGAAGCACGGTATTCATTTTTTATCTTAGTTTGGAGTATATCAGTAAACGTTTAAAGCCATATTTTTCGAAGCCTCGAAACAATTGGAGCATTTGTTTACACGATTGCAAACGTCATGGTATTCAATACCATCGAAAATAACATCAACAATATTAAAAATTTGGCAGACAATGACCTCGACCTCTAACCTACATAATTATCACCGTGTTTTTGTGCAAGATAGACACTTTGGCGCTCCAATTTCTCATGACTCACCCTGCACTCTTGCGCGCAATAAAACATCTATGCGTGACATTGAATTATACTCGCGGAACGATAACAAACATCCAACGCGTACAATTAAAAATTACGACTTTGATTTATGCAAGACGCCGTGCTTATACATCTGATAAGACTAAAGAAACGTTCTGGTGGAAGGCAGCCGCCGGTGGGCTCAATTACGCTCATAACAATCGTCATCCTCGTGATATTCCGCGGACGTTTACGTATGTACATTCCCCGTTAATCAAATTCCGTGGACACAAAGTCGACGGAATAGTTCAACGAGGACCAAAATAAACACGTACGAGGGAACGGTAAATAGCGTCGATTCAAATTTAGAGGAACTTCGGTTGTCTAGGCGCTGCTAAAATATCCTGCGCTCGCGTCAGGCCTGGGACCAACCAATATGCAAAACATGCACTTAAGGCATCACGAAGAAAAAAAAAATTCTGTTGGATCCAGCTAGATCACTTAGTTGATTTGTTCAAGATTTTTGCTTTACTCGATTCTTGGTTAATTGATCCTTTTCTTTCGAAGTTGATGATCCTGTTGGTCAGACTAAGCATGTATCAGCTTTTTAAAAAATTAGACTATATGCAAAGTATATGCAAATCGCAAGAATATATGAAATTACCATCAGCTACAGAATTTTCATATAAATTCCCCATAAATGAATTGATAATTAAATAAGTGATTCGCGTCCATGTTTCTATCACGTACAGTTTGGAGTATTTTTTATTTTCATCACAAAAGCTTAAGAAAGCAAAAGATTACTCCAAACAAGAAACTACAAAATATAAAAAAAAAAACGTGAATGACTTCAAAACGAATGACCTTGAAAAAAAGATATTCTTCTTATAGTTTGAATGGAATATAAAATACCGGAGGAGACGTTTGGGGGATTTAAAAGTGGGGCGCCCGTGTTTTCGAGAGAAGCGTGGGGGATCGGTTAGCGTGAATCCGGTCCTGGCGTGTATCGCGCGATTTCGTGCCACACCTTGGTGTGCCCGAAGTTTTCGTATTGTACGACGCCCCGAAAAAGTGCGGAGTTGTTTTGGCCCGGGTCTCGCTGGTCCAACGAACATCGATGTTTTGTCGGCAGAACGCTAGGTTCATCCGACCTATTCCCAACCGGCGATTGTTGTGCACGAGTAGAGGGGTCAGCGTATCGTTGATTGGCTGGTTCCGACAGAGGGCGCCTACCATGTCCGGGTCGATGTTGCTAAAAGCTGCTGCGGATGGAAGAACAGCAGTCGCTGGAACCTACTCGAGTCGCGTGCAGACCGGTCGCTTTCACGTTCCACTGTAGTTCTATATATACATATACACTTTGCTTTCGCTTCGGAGCATCGAAACGGCATCGCGTGTACGCTATTGTGCGATAATCAGAATCGCATCAGCAGCAACGGACGATCGAATTCGATTCCTCTGAAGCGATTCGCTGGTAACCGATCGTAGGGGTTTTCGGTGAAATCTCGTTGGACGAGTACAGGTTGTCCTCGTGGTCCGTGCAGGAGGGAAAGAGAGGGTCAGGTGTAAGAACACGAGCAGGAAACCGCGGACACGGTGGAAGAGGAGACGTGAAGGGAACGGGAGGCGTAAGAGGACGGTGGGGCAGCGCCGTGACTATGTAAACTACCAGCATAACAGTTGGTGTGGCAGCGCGTGCGCAGGGCCTAGCAACCCGCAGCAACAAACGTCTGCGGGACAGACAGCTGAGTAACGTCACAGACAGCGATCGCAAACGACAGGTAACACGAGGGTAGGCGAACAGACCGGAGTGCTGAACGAAAAAGACAAAGAAGCCCGCAAACTGGCTCCGGAAGTGAGGATCAAGCAAATTGGAATGAGGGAGGACCTGTTGTCCATCATACGGCACACTAGCAGCGATCATTTTTCGGAAGAACTTTAGCCCGCGTGTCGAGGGCAGAAGGAACGAGAGGTGTTCTAGACTTAGGACAAGTTCATCGGTTATTCCGTACAAATAGAGGGCTCTTGCTCGCTGGATATTCGGCCGCGGAAGCGTCATCAGGGCTCCCTTTCTCATCTTTCTTGTCGTTCGAAACCGTACCCCGTCGCCGTATACCTGCCGACCGGGCTCCGCTCCCCTTGGAAGGCAACTTTCCGGACCTTTCGTCGGTTATGCCCTGGGTGGCCGCCTGCTTTGACCTGCTGGAAGCTTCGATTCACAGCTACTGCCTCGCGGTGAGGAACCTCGCGTTGCTGGCTGGCATCCGTCACGAGGGCAGCGACGATCCGACGATAACGCTGGCAGATCACGGTTCCGGTTCGTCTGACGCGCGGAAGGGTGCCCCGTCCTCAGCCGCCATGGCTCCGAGCACCGAGGAACAGAGCCAAGGTAAATACTGCTCGAGAAAGTATTTGCATTTGCTTTGGTATGATAATTTGCACGGAGTAACAATTAGCGAGTAACTGTCTCGTTTCATCGGTACAAAAATGATGTTTCTTAGAATTCTATGGAATTCTTGGGATCAACAGAGTCCACCTTATGATTCTCTGGGTAGTAAGCATAGAGCTTTATGCGACTTTGAGTATATGCAACTGCCAAGATCGTAACGTAAACAGAGCTTGTTTATCGGGGTGGTTAAAAAATTCGGTTTTGACGATGCATTTAATTTGAGAGGCTCTGAAACGCAACTTCTGTTTCGTTCAAAACACTATATTATTCGGTAGCTAATATTTAATACAAGGGATTATAAGGGAAAAGTTTGGAGTATGGAGCATTTTCGAAAATCTAACAATTTGTGTAAAAAAACGAATAATCGCATGAAAGAATACATGTTTTTGTTAAATAATCGTTTATTCGATGGATAAGGCTTCGATTCCTAGGAGGCCATTAAACTATCATGAACGAATCACTTTCTGTTTACATATTAAGAACCGTAAGTACTTTGACCAACCTAATAGTTTAATATTCTTGAAAGATGAAACACAAAATATTAAATTTCAAGAGAAACAAAACTACAAGAAATGTATTGTAAACCCACCCTTTTTTAAGGACTCGAATTTCATAAAACTGTGAAAAATCTTCCACATTGATATATGGCAAAATTTGGAAGAAATTCATCAAAATGTGTTTAAATAAATACAATTTTGGAAAATTGTCTTCTTCTATATTTAAATAGGATAAAGTTTTGTTCAGAAGCTCCAACAGAAGAGTCTTGGACTAACTGATAATCACAGGGGTGGCAAATCATGATATGGACGTGCACGATTTACGATGGCGTTGGAGCATCGCGTTTATTAGTAAAACGATGATTGCTGAAGACTATATCGAGGTGTTGCGAACTAATTTACTAGGACGTATAGTTAAATTGGTCGAGAACGGGATCGGAAAGTGCAGTTAAATTGGGCATTCTTGTTACTTTCAGGAAGACAGAGATTCGAGCACGCTTCTGAGAGAACCAGGGGGCTAGTTGTTATGTAATGTTACGAATCAATTTTCTGCACTTTTGCAGACACCGGATATCTATTCAATGCAGATTCTAAGACACTCGTTAGATTCGGAAGCAAGGAAAAGAAAAAGCATAAAAACGTTGATAGAATTTCGCTGAAGAGGAATAAAAAATATAATAAACCATCCAAACAGGTTATACGTATTAAATTTTTGGGCAAAGTTTAATTCGTTGTTCACAAATTTTAGAAAATGCAATACTTTGGGACGCTTCCCAAAATAGAATTTATTTTAATTACAATGAAAAATAGGGTGATTTCTCGTAACCATAACTGTGCAAATCAGGGACCAAATAGTTATCCTAAAAATTTGTACGAAAATAACCATTACCAAAAGTGGTTTTTCGCTTCGATTAAGAATAATGTTGAAGCAAACTTTTCAAAAAATATCAATTTCTAAGCCTGTTGGTCACACAATAATCATTGTTTACGACCAAAATGTTTTCTCCTCGTAATCGTTGTCGATGACGGAAATAATTTTTCGATTACGTTCGACCAGAATTTTATTTTCCGTTACGGTTCACATTTTGTTATTGTCGATAATACAACTTTCAGTACAATTGTTACAAACGAGCAAAATAAATTTCTGTCGTCGATAATGGCTATCATTGACGGAAAAAATTCCTACTTTATGACTCATTATTTATAACCGAAAACATTTTAGTAAAAAAGAATCATTCTATTTTTTGTGTTATATGACTTTCATATTCTTGTAAATCATTATTAAGAATTCTTAACGATTCATGTAATTTTTATGAATAATGAATTATTACCAATACCAATTTCTATTACTCTTTTTTGTATGCGCAGTTATTGCAAACAAACTAATGCAAACACTTTTTTCCATTCACTGGTAAGGTTCATTTACACTCCCGATCGGATCACTATTCGATAAATCGACCAATAACCGTTTTATTATTGAGCCGTTGATCAGCGGGTTGCAAAATTTATCGTAGCTTTTATCGTTTAGAAAAAAAACGAAGTCATCGAGATATCGTGTTATGCAACGGGACTGTCGTCATCGAATGCTTAGACATGCAACAAACAAGGTCCGTCTTAAATAAACATGAAATCTACTAACGGTGTTATTATATATTGGCACGTTGCGTTTTTCTTTGCGCGAAGATAATGTTTTTAAAAATCGTAGTATAATCGTTCAGAAACCAGGTTCAGTTTACTTAAACGGTATCTCAACCCCAAGAAGATTAAGAATCTTCTCAAACAGTAACTACAGTAACTTAGATACAACGTGGACGTAAATAAATTATTTTTCTTTTTCTAAACTATTTGAACGCTTCTATTGACGCCTACAATAGACACTTTTATATACAGGACGTTTAAAATGATGAGACAAGCCAAAACGTGCAGATTCTTCGCATAAAAAACAAATGAAAAGTGTTTTTCCATTTTGGAATTTGTGACTCCATTTTGAATACACGAGCAGTTAAAATGTACAGATGTGATTCCCGGTGGGAGCTATTTATACGCCCGTCAATTGGTTGCGCAGCTGCACATGCAGCACGCACGCACGCACAAAAAACGTGTATCGTAGTGTTTATACGTGCAAAAACATCAACTGGTTGCAAACTTTTTAATTTATTTCAACACCAGCCATTTACATGCCCGTCCCATCGTCGACTAGTCTCGTAATTTTAAGACATCCTGTACATTTCATATAATTAGAACTGTTATACTACGAACAAGTCGGTACGATATTTTTTTATTCAAAGAAAAAGATTCTGAATTAAGTAGATTAAAAATCCCAGTGTTAAAAATAATTTTAGTTAATTAAAATTGTCAATAACCTGATTATATTTGGGAACAGTTTTTTCGAGCCCTGACGCTCTCATTTTGAGAAATTATCTTCATTTTAGATTGAGATATTTATGAGTAAGTGTTTTGAAAACAGTGAGTTTTTTAAAACAATATTCTTGGGGTGAATTTATTTCAATATTATATCGATGCATTTATTTTCGAACCATTTTCGAAATCCATTTTCGAATTAATTAAAATTTTTAAACTGGAGGCTCTACAGTTTAAATTTGTTCCTCCGTGGTGGGTGACTTTAATTTATTTTTAAGGGGTGCAATTCTGGCTGCACCACCATGTTGCACTGTACTCTCGGATTACCGCTATAAATACCACGCGGATGCAAATAGATACGTGTGACTCGGCGTTTGGTCCCGCGGGACAAATAAAAATTTCGTAAACAATTCTGGCGAAGGATTTGGGTTGAGCTGAAAAATAGTCTCGTTCGCTGAATTTCACCTTTCCACCTCGTTTCTATAAAAAGCGACGCTCCTCGTGATAAATTCAGGTTTGAACACGTGTATTATTGACTATACGGAGTAGTCGTTTCCAACATCTATTACCAAATGCTAAAAATGAGCACTCTATATAATAAATAATCTTACACAAGCTCAAAAAGAATAGAATCACATATACTATCATTTCTTGAATTTCTATTCTTTTACCCGGAGAAATAAATAAAAGTAGTGATTAATTATCTCATAGACGTATGTAGATAAAATAGAAATCGATTGCTTTACGACAGTATTCTGGGGTTGAAAGAAAAATGGAAAATGATCGTTTCGCATTTATCGATACAGGCGAAAAAAAATTGAAGTTTCGACCATGAGGACGCAAGAAAACAATGTAAATACACACTATCGCAACGGACTTTTATCTGTCAGATAGGTTTATCGACAGACGTAGAGAGTAACTTAACAAGCACGGATAATCGAGGCCTCGTCAAATATTTAACATGCACCGATAAACGGTATCTAATTTATTTGTCGTCGTGGCCGCGCACCAATTGCATCGACGCCGAGGGGCGTTCCTTCTTGATGCAATAGTTCGTTAGATTAATATTTCCCAACAGGTGCGGCAGGAAAAGATTAAAAAAAAAATCAATAATAAGACTCCAGCGAAAGAATTCACGTCGTTCGTAAACACTATAAATATTCATCGTTTGCTGTTGCACGCTAACTCGTGGGAGCTGTTTCATCAATTGTAGCTCTAAACAATGGAAAAAGATCATCTTCAAACACTTTAGATACTAATTTTGACTAAGGAATGAAAGATAACGAAAACTTCCGTTAATCGTCGGCTAAAAATAACTCGCGTTATCTGAACCTGTATCTTTCTGAAAAATTTTATCGTTTGATAATAAACGGTCAACTATATAACTGTTTCAATTTTTTATTTGAACTGGTTGGTTTTATAGAGCTTTCATATTTTTTCCTCTGTAATTAAACAAAATATTAAAAGGAAAATGTATATAATTTGCTGTGAATACCTGTTTTCTTCCTATTGGGAAATAATTCATTAGGGGTTTTCCCAACGGGAAGAAGGAAAAGTGTTAAATTATGCTACTCGCGTCACTGTACACTCTACACACATCATTTTGTTAAGTTCCTTTATGTACCTAATTTAAATATTTTCAAATATACCCTCCATTATTTTTGTTATTCCTGCAATTGCTTCGACAGCGTTGAGCAATTTCTGAGTACATTATTATTCAAGAAAGACGAGGAAAAACAATAATAATGTACACAAAAATTATTCGACAAACTGCTAAGTCTTCATCTATAGATACTTCGTTACTGAGTCATAAACAAATACGTATGAAATAGGCAGCACACAGAAGAGAACGTTTATCCTTTAATGTCCTTATTAAAATAATCTTACTAGCAGTTAATCCTCAACAATCGGATAATCTATCATTTAAGACCCATCAAACTAGAATCCCCATTACTCATCGATTTCGATCTCGCATCCGAGCACAAGGACACCACTTTGATGCATGAAATTGAAAATATTAAGTAATCATTTTTTATTATGCCATTAACGACACGGAATTGTTTCCAGATGGTAAAAATTATA